CAGTGCTCAAGAGATCCTCTTGGAGCAATGATAAGTAACCATTTGGTGTTTAGAATTGTACCAGGGTCTATAAAATATACAAGATATGGATCCAAACATTACTATCTCTCCACACCCTTAATTTCTTGTTCTAAATCTTGTTTTATGTTTTCAGAGTGATATTTTGATTTTTACAACTGCTTCTCTGGATGTTAAGAATGACTCAAGGAGTCATAAAATTATTTCTTAGAATAGTGGATTATGAACAATACATAAGAAAGTGTATGGTTATAAAGGTGAATCCTAGTATAGGTGCTGAGAGCAGTACATGCAACTTTGCTTTTGAATCAAGAAACTATGTATCTAGGGGTATGGTGCCACTAACAGGTCAATCTGTACCTGTGAGGCGAGTGCATCAGCAGCCTGTTGGCACCATCAGACTTTCAGATATCCCAAAATTGCTGCTGTGCCTTTGGCCAGACCCCAAAAACTTGGGGCAAAGTTTACCAAGAAAGTAAACGGCCAAAAGTTAGGTATGTGGGAAACACACCCACAAACCACCTCCAGCTCAGCTATATGGTTGGAGGCATGGTCTCTCTGTTCCTGATCAAACTGCTTAATGGCTATGATCCCAGAGACTCAGAAACAAATCTTGTAACCCCAAGGCTTTTGGCAGAAATGCGTCCTTTTCCTGCAGTAGGTTACTGGCACCGTGCCACTCCAGGTGGGAAAATGTTTTGTGCCTTGTCCTGTACTCCCTGGAGGCCCGGTGACCGCCATCCTCCAGAGGCCACTGGACAGTCAGGTCTGGGCCTGCAAGGATGAGAGACGTGGGGCCTCACCAGATGGGGGTGGAACCGGCCCTTTCCTCCCCATCCCAACAAGACCCTGAGTCGCTGCCTAAAAATGGCCTCTCTGGCTCCTGATCAAGCTGATTAATGGCCACAATCCTAGAGACTCAGAAACAAGTTTCGAAACCCAGAGGCTTTTGGCAGAAATGCATCTGGACTGCATACAAGGTGGCCGCCACCTTATTGCTGATTGGAAAGGCAGTGATGGGCCAACTGCAGTCTCATGGGAAGGGGGACAGTACCGGCTTGTCCTTCATGCCCTGCCGAGGTCACGAGTTGCCCCCCCCACACACACACGTGCGGTTTTCTGACACGGCCATGGATCCAGAGACAAAAGGACTTAATCCAGAGCCCAGCAGCTTGCCCAGAAAAGTGAATGGACCATGTGTTAAACTACGGCGCAATGCCTCCCCAGGAGGGAAAGGGTGTTGCTCCTTTCCGCCTCCCCTTCCTCCCCGCCACGCCCCCTCCCCCCCCACGCCAGCCGCAAGGTGGCCACTGCCTCAGAGCTTATAGGAAAGCCAGTTATGAGCTGGTGATGACGGGGCAACTGCAGTCTCATGGGAAGGGGGGCAGTACCGGCTTGTACTTCACACCATACCGAGGTCGCAAGTTGCCCCACCCGAGCAGCTCTCCAGCACAGCCATAACACCAGACACACAGAAACCAATCTTGTAATTATATGGTTCTTTGCAGAAATCCAAGATCGCTTGGCTGCTATTGTGGCCACGTGACATTATATGATTCTCATAACCAGCTATAGAAAACAAAGTATTTCACAATGCCTTTTCAGCAATTCTGATTGTTGGAGGGGAAATTCTAAACAATAATGGTGCTTTTGTCGAAATAATGTATGTAATCATATAAGAAGGAAAAAAAGAAACTATACATCTATATCACAAGTAATTTTTATAAAACATATTTTTATTTCGTCAATTGCCTCGAGCAGGCCCCAGTAACGTCTCCTTCATCCTAGCCCTGAGATTATATTCAAGGCTCTTTAGGAGAATGAGACCCATCATTGTTACTGTTATTTGGCATATTGGGTACACCACAGGGAGTTTGCCAGACTCTGCCATGTGGGCAGGCTACATTCGGTAGCCTGCCAGTTTGTCCGAAGTAGGAATGAAATAATAAGATGTCATAATAAGATGTCGCGGCCGCGCAGTTCCGGGAGCTGGTTTTTATAGTCTCTGAGTCTTGGCCGCTGATGGGATTACATGGCGCCAGGGGGCCAGTTGGTGGGTGTGACCCCCGCCTACTGGAATTTGGAGGATCTGGGTGGAGGATGCTCGGCCCCAATCTGAGTAGGCTTGGAGATCTCAGCCCCGGTACCCGTGTGGCTTTGTCCCTCTGCCAGTACCTTCATGTGTGCGGAGAGTGGTCTCAGCATGGTGGTGGCTGGTCTTGGAGGTCTTCGACTACTGGAGCCCTGGCCGGGGCGGGGAGGAAAGCTCAACCCGCTCCCCTCCAAGGGATCTTATTTTTATAAGATTTAAATATTAGGGAATAATGATCCATGTCCTTTAAAACAAGAAACTATAATAGAACTATAATCTCATTTTATTTTGTGTATTTCATACCTTCAAATTGCTATATATTACTAGTTTAGGAAGTAAGGTTTTAGTTTTTTTTCTAAAATCATAGAAAATTTTTAGTATGTATTCTAATAGGTAGTTAATGCAAATATCGAAGTTAAATGATATATAACTTTTTATCATTATATGAACCATTTTATTTTCTCCCATAATTATTTTACATGTTGATAATCAGAGTGATAGCAAATCTTGCTTAAAAAGATTACGAGATCCAAATCATATAATGCAATGAAGCTAAGACAGAACCCTTCCTCTTAGTGGAATATAGATACATAAAATGTCTTGTTAATTATAACAATGAGAGCACATTTTTTTTAGATATGATGCAACAGTGTTCTAAAGAGCACTTGAACTTGCCTCTCAGTGGTAGATTTTGGTTGATTTAAAAATTGAGCAAACTTTTGACATTTTACCTCTGAAAGGTTTGTATGGTCTTCTTTTTGCGCTCACTTCATGAAAATGATACTTTCTCACAATTCTGAGAATTCATTTTAAGGATATAACCGATAATTCTAAAGCGGTCTTTCATAAATAACAATCAGAATAAGTATTTCAAAAATTTATTTTAATTCAAGAGGATTTTTTTCCTTTTTTTAAATTTTTAAAAATTTTTAAAATTTTTTTCCTAATTTTTATTAGTGAAACACCATGAGGTACAGTTGTAGACTTACAATTTTTTGTGCTTGGGTTCAGTTATACAATGATTGAGTACCCATCCCTCCACCAGTGTCCATTCTTCACTACCAATGATCCCAGTATCCCTCCCACCCCCCATCCCCCCATCCCATTGCAGCTTCTATGGCAGGGCATTCCCTTTTGTTGTCTCTCTCCTTTTGGGTGTTGAGGTTTGTGAATAACTGTGAGGTACAGTTACAGACTTACAAACTTTCATGATTACATTCCAGTCATTCAATGATCGAGTATCCCTCCCTCCACCAGTGCCCATTTATTCTCAGTATTTCTCCTGTCATCCGCCATCTCTCTTCCCGCATACCCCCGCCTTCTTCTGTGACAGACATATTCTCTTTTACTCTCTCTCTCTCTCTCTCTCTTTGGGTGTTATGATTTGCAATACAGGTACTAAGTGGTCCATAGTCTACTTTCATCACACATCTCCCACTCTGAGCGAGTCCTTCAAGCATCATTTACTCGGTGTTCCCTTCTCTATCTCACCTGCCTTTTCCCCCAGCATGTGAGGCCAGCCTCCAAGCCATGGAGCAATTCTCCTGGCCCTTAACTTTACTATCTTTGGGTATTTGTCTCCCATTATGTTACTTTATATTCCACAAGTGAGTGCAGTCATTCTCTGTCTGTCCCTCTCTCCCTGACTCTTTTTACTTAGCATAATTCTCTCCATGTCAATCCACTTATATGCAAATTTTATGACTTCATGTTTCCTAACAGCTGCATAGTATTTCATTGTGTAGATGCTCCAGAGTTTCTTTAAATAGTCATCTATTCTCAGACACTCAAGTTGTTTTTTTTTTCCAGATTCTGGCTATTGTAAACAGTGCTGCAGTAAACATACAAGTGCATATATTATTTCTACTATACTTTTTTGCATGTCAGACATATATTCCCAGAATTGGTATTGCTGGGTCAAATGGGAGCTCAATTTCTAATTTTTGAAAAATGTTCATATTGTTTTCCAAAAGGGCTAAACCAGTTAGCATTCCCACCAGCAGTGAAGGAAAGTCCTTTTCTCCCCATTACTCCAATTCCAGTTGCTTTTGTTCTTTTGGATGTGTGCCAGTGTCTGTGATTGTGAGATGATACCTCATTGTTGTTTTGATCTACATCTCCCTGATGATTAGTGACAAAGAGCATTTTTTTCATGTGACTTTTGGCCATTCAAATTTCATCTTTGATAAAGTTTCTGTTCATTTCATTGTCCCATTTTCTGATGAGATTGAATGTTTTCTTCGTGTAGAGTTCAAAGAGTGCCTTGTATATCCTTGATATTATCCCCTTATCAGATGGTTATTGGGTGAATATCCTTTCCCGTTCTGTAGACTGTCGTTGTATTCTGGTCACTGATTCCAAAAGGATTTTACTATGGTGTTGCTTAAAATATTCTGCACAGCTTAAGAGGTTAAAATATAAATATCTCTATTCACAATTCTGTGAACTCAGTAATGATTTGAGATTAGAGTAATGTTAGCTACTAAAGAATATGCATTAGGAAGGAATTTTTTGATTGAATAACCTGAGTATTTGTACTCAGGATTAGGTATTCTATATTCAAAAATTAAATCAACTCTAAACACATAGGTTTGAAAAGTAGAAGAGTTTACCAACCCTAATATAGAAATGCAGTGTAATTATGTACTTTATATTTCTTTTTGCTTTCAGTTATAGAGGATCAACTTTCAAAACATATCTGAAACACAATGCATGGAGAATAACTTTTTAATGTTACTTAATTATGTCCTATGCATATTGCACACATTATTATTGAATAAACAAAAGTGTGTAGAAAGAACTTATTTTAATAGTCACTACTCATATCATGGAATTGCTGTGGATCAAGGATATTTTCTCTAGGAAATTTGTTGGGTTCGGTGGAGTCTCCATGGTAAAGTTCATTTTCCATCTGTTTCCAATTCTCTTGACTGCGGATTACAGAGCACGTCCTATCATCTCAAATACAACTTATGTCCCAGCCTGGAATGCTCCAAGTGACAAATGTGAAGAATCATTTCGTATTTCTGTGGATCTGAGCTTCTATCCATTAAAAGGAAACCCTCAAGTCAAAGCCACAGGTCAAACTGTTACCTTATTTTATATCCAAAAACTCGGCCTCTATCCTCACATAGACGTAAAATCGGGAAAGGAAAAACATGGAGGGATTCCTCAGTTGGGAAATATATCAGAACATTTGAAACAAGCTGAGAAAGACATTTTACATTACTTACCAAAAGATGAGTTAGGCTTGGCTGTAATTGATTGGGAAGAATGGAGACCTATCTGGAGAAGAAACTGGTTAAACAAAACAATTTACAGAATCAGATCACTTGATTTGGTAATGAAAAAGTCGAAGGTTTTGGGTCCAGCTGTCGACATGCAGGCAAAAGCAGATTTTGAAGCTGCAGGAAAGGAATTCATGCTGAAGACTTTGCTATTAGGACAGCAACTTCGACCAAACAATTACTGGGGTTTTTACCTTTTTCCTGATTGTTACAATCATTATTATGCAAAAGTTAGTCATTACTCTGGAATTTGTTCAAATTTAGAAAAGCGAAGTAATGATGAGCTCAACTGGTTGTGGAAAGCAAGCACTGCCCTTTTCCCATCCATTTATTTGAATACAAGATTAAAGGAAACTCCGAAGGCTGCGCTCTATTCCCGTAATCGCATTTATGAAGCCATTCGGCTTTCTAAAGTACGCGACGAAAAAAATCCACTTCCGGTTTTTGTATATACCCGTCTAGTTTTTACTGATAAAATCACAGAGTTTCTTTCCGAGGTAAGTAAATCAAGGTAGGTTAACTACAAAGCAGTGTCCATAGTGCTATTTAGTAGAATTTGACTACATTTTTGAATTGAGTAAAATTTATCTTTGATTTTTTATTTATTTGGCTTTGGTCTACCTAGCGTTTACTCCAGGCTCTGTGCTCAGGGATTCTCCTGGAGAAGATTTGGGGACAGGAATCAAACCTGGGTCTACTGTGTACAAGATAGGTGCCCTATTATTTGTGCAATCTGTTCAGTCCTAAAATTAATCTGGTTTTATTTCTGTTCTTGAGCTACATCTGGCAGTGCTCAGGGCTCGGTCCTGGCTCTGCTCTCAGGGATCACTCGTGGCAGACTTCGAGGTCTATATGGGCTGAGGAGGTTCGAACTTGTGTAGTCTGGCTGTAAGGAAGCACCCTACCTAAAATACAATATCTCAGCTCCTAAAATTCATCTTTAATAGCTCTTAGGAACAAGCCTACATAATTTTATACCAACACATGTACAAAATAAGACTCTAACTTGTTTATAATTGAATAAGATAAGATACTACACACAATAATAGTATAAACTAATAAAGATAATGAACTATATGTATAAAATAACTATGTGTAAACTGATAGTATAAAGTAATGAACTAAGAGATAAAGTAATTATAAGCTAATAACTCAGTTTATTTTACTTTGAAGTGCTTGCTTTCATGACAATAAAAACAACTAACACAATAACAAGAATTTTTGGATACAGAAGGACAGTGACTGTGTAAATGGGTCATAAGGGATGCGAAGAGAATTAAATTATTCTTTTCTCAGTATGCTTACTTTTTGTATCACTTCCAATGAATGACATTTTCATATTATTTCTGCTAACTCTTTCTATTACATTTGCCAGATTGACCTTGTGAATACAATTGGTGAAACATATGCTCTTGGGGCCTCTGGAGTTGTAATTTGGGGAAGCTCCAATTTAACCCAAACAAGAGTAAGTTGAATTCATAGTAAATAGAGGAAAATTTTTCACTATTTAATGCATTTTGTTGCCGTGATAATGAATAATGAAATAAGTGCTCTGCTTGCCAGACATTATTAGATGATCAATGATAATTACTGAATCATGCATTCTTGCTTTTGTACTTTTGTTTAATAAATTAGAGATATTTTCTTTGTTTTGTCAGTAAAAATATCAGTGATAAAGTAAATTAATGATATTAAATGAAAATAAAAAAGTGACATTGGTTGAAATTCACTAGATTGTTTCAAAGAAGCAAAAGTAAGGTTCTGATCTCAATGTATTAACAGGGTATACGATTATTTTTCTGCTACGTTGCTTAGTAATAGTGTTAGCAAGAAAATGGATTTTCTTGCACTCTTGAGATTTTGAGAATTATATGAAATATTTGCATACAAAACTTAGAAGATTAAAAGTTAGTTTTTTGTGCAGATAAAGTTGATAGGTCTGGGTCTCTCCCCAGAGATCCAGGCCCCTCCTTTACCCATGAATGATGTCACCAGTCCTGTCCCATACCATCTATTTTTCTTCCATGAACAATGCCACATATCCCTATGCCACCCTCAGTCTCCAGCCAGCCATGGCTACATGCACATGCGTGAGACTCCTGTGATCAATACATTGTCACTAGCTGGGTGTTCAAGTCATACCTGAACCTGAGCTTTCCTGGCCATCTATCTGAGCCCTACTGTATTCTGCCATTATCTGGCCAAGAGTGGCCTTCCTGTTCTGGGCCTCTTTCCTAGGCACCGCCCTACTTGAACCTGGAAGACGGGAGAGAGGAGAGAGTCTACAGTGTATGTGGAGGTTGAGGGGGAGGGCTTCCTTTAAGCAGCTGCCAAATCCCATCCCCAGCAATTCCACTATCAATTCTGATTGTCTACCTGTTCTGTGTGCAGAGATTTGAGATTTAAAGTGATCTGATGCTCCATATCTCTGCTCCTGCTCTATCATTATTAGTACTCTGGAAGAAATTTAATTATTCAGTATATAGTTGCTTAGTTTTTCATTCAGTCAGTAATGTTTGGACACCATTTATTCATTTAATTACTGCATAACAATAGTGTATTACAGAGATATGCAAACAATAGCCATGGGTCAATTCTGGCTGACTTCTTTTTTTATACAACAAATTAATACTTTTGGACTAATAATAACTTGTATTTTTAAAAATATCAGTTCAGATAAAAAGAACGGTATGTCATGAAATATTTTACAACGTAAAATAAAAATGTCCATGTCTGTCAGTAAAGGTTTCAAAAACAAAATTAAAAACATTACTTTTTTAAAAATTTTAAAAATATTTTTAGAAATTTCTAAATTTTAAGAAATGTGGCAAAGATTACTTCCATGCTTTTTGACTGAAAATGATTCCTCTGAGATTAAAAAAAATCAGAGGTACAGTTTGGTGGGAGAAGTACAGGAGTGCAATTAGATCGAAAACAAGTAACTAGGAGTTAGTTTTGAAAACAATATTAAATTGTACAAAACACCCCAAAGAGAGCATATGGGAAACCCTTCTTCTTTAACTTTTAAAGGTTAAATTTAGTTGTGATTGGTTTATTCATTTCTTTATTTTTAATTTTTAAGCACTGTGAAGTTCAGGGTTATAAAATACTTCAGTTAAGTGCCAGGCATAAAGTTTTCCAACATCAATCCTAATGCCACTGTCCAACTTTCTCTACTAATATCCTACTAATATCCTTGGCTCATGCACTCAGGAATTACTCCTAGCGGTGCTCGGAGGACCATATGGGATGCTGGGGATCGAACCCAGGTCAGTTGCATGCAAGGCAAATGCTCTACCCGCTGTGCTATTGCTCCAGCCCCGGTTTCAAGAACCTTTAGGTCTTACATTATTTTTATAAATTACCTAGTCTTAATCCCATCAACGGCCAAGACTCAGAGACTATAAAAACCAGCTCCCAGAACCAGCTCCCGGACATCTTATTATGCCATTTTATTATCTCATTCCTGCTTTGGACAAACTGGCAGGCTACCGAATGTAGCCTGCCCACATGGCAGAGTCTGGCAAACTCCCCGTGGCGTACCCAATATGCCAAATACCAGTAACAATGATGGGTCTCATTCTCCTAAAGAGCCTTGAATATAATCTCAGGGTTAGGATGAAGGAGACGTTTACTGGGGCCTGCTCGAGACAATCGATGAATAACAGGGTGATTTGTGATTTGTGTGATCCCCGGTTTACCCACAGTCCCTAGCCTTCCTCTAGAGCAGGCATTTTCTCAATGCCCATTGCCCTGGTGTTCCAGGGCTTAATTTAGCTCAGTGCCAAGCTTCCTATTGAAGAACAATTCTGCTCTTCTTTTGTTTTTGCACCTTTGTTATCCCTTTAAGGTAGTGTCTTTAGTCACTGATCTGTTCTTGGGCACTTGGGTTGCTTCCATATTTTGGTTATTGTGAATAATGCAGCAAAGAACATAGGAGTATTGATGTATTTTCTGCTTTATGCTTTTGGAATCTTGGGGTATATTCCAAGGAGTGGAATTGTTGGATCATACGGAAGCTCAGCTGCTAGCTTTTTGAGTAATGACCATATTGAGTAGTGATTATTGGAAATAAAATTTGGTGCTTTATTTTAAAAACAAATTTTCTCATTTAAAATGCCTTGCCTCATTCAAAATGTCCGATTTGTTTTATATAGTACTGATTTATTGATTTTCTCCCAATGCATTTTCTTCAGCTCAACAAATCTTTCCCCATCAGGACCTAATTGTTTCTCTCTTTATTTTCATCTTTGTCTAAACTTCCAAATCAGGTCATATAGCCTCCATTTCACCACACATTTCCCATCCCGGGTGATCCCTCCAATCATCATTTACTTAGTGGTTCCTTCTCCATCCCAAATGCTTTTATCCCCAGCAGATGGGGCCAGTTTCCATACTATGGTGTGAACCTCATAGCCCTTATCTCTATTGTCCTTAAGTGTTAGTCTCATATTATGCTATTTTATATTTCACAAATGAGAGCAGTAATTCTATGTCTGTCCCTCTTTTTCTAATTACACTTAGCCTGATAATCTCCACGTCTATCCACTTATATGCAAAGTTTATGATTTCTTCTCTTCTAACAGCTGCATAGTCTTCCACTGTGTAGATGTACCAGAGTTTCTTTAACCAGTCATCTGTTCTCTGGCACTCAGGTTTTTTCCAAGTTCTGGCTATTGTGAACAGTGCTGCATTAAACATACAAGTGCAGAAGTCATTTCTACTGTTCCCACAACATACTTTCACATTGTGTAATAGAAGGAAAATTTTTTTCCAATTTTTTACTCATTTTTATCAAATTGGTTGCTAAATTGGGTGTGTTTAAAGTATTTACACCATGACATCAGTAACTCTAGTCTTATGTTTTATAGGAACAAGAGCTTACCTTTTCAAGCTTAAAGTTTTAAATTTCTTTTATTTTGTTTTTGGTCCACACCTGGCAATTCTCACAACTTATTCTCAGCTCTGCACTCAGGAATTACCCCAAGTGTGCTCAGAAACAATATAGAATATCAGGGATCTAAACCAGATTAGCTGAATGTAGCATATACACTCTACTCACTTTTCTATCTTTCTAGTACTCAAGATTCAATTTCATATCTTTCCAAATACTCCATACTGTGTCACTGTCACTGTCACTGTCCTCCCATTGTTCATTCATTTGCTCGAGCGGGCCCAGTAATGCCTCCATTGTGAGACTTGTTGCTACTCTGTTTGGAATATTGAATATGTCTTGGGTAGCTTGCCAGGCTTTGCTGTGTGGGCGAGATACTCTCAGTAGCTTGCCAGGCTCTCTGAGAGGGGCAGAGGATTCGAACTCGGGTTGGCCATGTAGGCTGCATGCAAGGCAAACGCCCTACTGCTGTGCTGTTGCTCCAGCCCTCCATACTGTGTAAGATAATTATTTGTCAAATAATTCTCGTCCCTATTCTTTTCCATTTTCCTAACTCCAATCTCAATGGGAAACTCCAATGCCATCTCCACTGGAGATACATTCTCATATATCCCTTTGTATGGGGAGTTCAGTTCTAAATACATTGTATTCATAAAATTTATATTAATGTTAATGTGGTAGAAATAATACTAATGTGAAAAATGTTCAATGTGCAGAGATGTGAGACAACGGACAAAAAATGGTGCCTGAGAAGTATATTATCTTAAGTTTGAATCTGAATGAAAATATAGCGTGTAGCACTATAACACTGTCCTGTACCACTGTCTTCCCATTGTTCATCGATTTGCTTAAGCGGGCCCAGTAACGTCTCCATCGTGAGACTTGTTATGTGTTTGGCATATTCAATACATCATAGGTAGCTTGCCAGGCTTTGCTTTGTGGCCAAGAAACTCTCAGTAGATTGCAGGGCTCTCAGAGAGGGGTAGAGGAAACGAACCCAGCTAGGCCAGGCTGGCTGTGTGTAAGACAAACGCTCTACCACTTTGCTATCACTCCAGCTTAGTGTGTAGTTTGTTAAAATTATTGAACAAAGTATTCAAAGCAGAGGGAGCAGTAAGAGTATTTTGACATTAAATTATCACGCTATGAAATAATTAGTATGTCTAATAATGAGAGAGGTTTATACTGTTAAGCTTGGGATTCTGGGTTCCAAAGCAGCAAGACAGACAGAGGCACAAACACAATAAAGCAAAAGTAGTAAAACTTTTGTTGAAGGATGAGAAAACTCCTTACTAATTCTTAAATAGTAAACAGATAAGTTACATCTAGCTGTATGCAAGTGATGAAATTTGAATTTTATACTAAGCACCATGTAAAGCTATTTAAGGATTAGTAAAAAGTTTCCTCATCCTTCAGTGAAAGTTTTAACATAGTGATTTAATGAACAAAAAATTATCATTAACCTATAATTTTGTCACTGTTACTGTCCTCCCATTGTTCATTGATTTGCTTGAGCGAACTCTGTAAGTTAAATATTAATTTTGGGGACTGAAAATCAAATAATTAGCAAG